TGATCATACCCCCTTTGACCCTAACAGAGCCTTGCTTGTGCTGTTTGGGTAAGTGTTTGACTGCTCATTCCAAGACCTGAGGTTCAAACCCACTAGCGGCTCCTGGCTCCTTAGGAGAAGAACGAGGCCAATCTGCGCCTTATAAAGATTTCTAGCCTTGGAAACCCTATGTAGATAGGGTCACTATGAATCCGTTGACTTGATGGCATTAATTTTTATTTTTATCCTCGTTAATATTAGCCTTGGTATCCCAAAGTTAGGAGCAACCTAAACACAGAAGATGGAAAAACAAAATGTGTGTATGTATAAAATGGAATATTACTCAGTAATAAATATATATTGAGTTCTGATGCATGTGACAAACATGGATGAACTGAGTGCAATAATTTGTCACAGAAGGATAGATACTCTATGACCTCACTGACATGAAATAGGTGATTATATAGAAAGCAGAGCTTAATAGTAGTTACCAGGGGTAGGGGGAAGTAGGGAAAAGGGAGCTTTTGCATTGGACAGTGAATTTATGTTAATGATGGTAGAATAATTAGGCAAAAGATTAACATAGGCTTTGCAGCATGAGTGTAATCAGTGTCTCTGAACTGTGCACATAGAAACTGTTGAATTGGTGATCTTTTGTTGTGAACATGTGCACCACAATTAAAAAGAAATAACAACAACAACTAGACAACTTCATACTGGGAGATTTTCCTCACACTACCAGTCATTTAGAACAGATTAGCATGAGATTTTCCCAGGGTCACCTTAAAAGAATGGATAGTAATTGGGTGGAGCTACCATAAAACTGAGGAGAGACTTTTACCGACAGCTTGAGGTAAGATTGTTTTTAAAATGAATGGGTTTCTCTTCTTACACCAATTTTACTATTTTAGGCCATAGTTTAGTTATTAATTGTGTCAATGGTGGTTGTATTGCTGGTGTTCTTCGTTGTATTTGTCTCTGTCATCTACCCATAGGGAGAAGGGCCAGCCTGAAATTAATTTGGATCTTCCGTCAAATGTGAAGGATTCTGGTGTTAGAAGTGAAAATATTTCTCGCGTTTAAAACTTTATAAACGTCTACCCTAACACCATCTGGGTTTGATAGTTAAATAGAATGAATCCACCCCCACCCACTCCTTACTTATTGACGTAGTTTCAAAGACGAGACTGTCATGTGAAAATCAGAGCTATGTAAAAATAGAGAATGACTACATCAGATCACAAGATGGAAGATGGCATCTCATTACATAACCACCAAACCACTGAGGATCCTGAATGGTACAGTCAAGTTGACATATAGCCTTAACTATCATAGCCAGTGTTACTGTCCCCTCAGACCGGCATGGTTAATGTACAGAATCATACAAATTTTACTGTTAAAAGCTTAAGGGGCCCTAGTGGCCCAGTGGGTTAAACAGGCTGCTAACCTCAAAGTTCAAAGGCACAAGCTGTTCTGAGGTGGAAAGATAATGATACAGCTGTCTGTTTCTGTACAGATTTAGGATTGGACACTATTGGGCAGTGGTGCTCAACTTTCCGAATGGCTCGACCCTTTAGTATAGTTCCTCATGTTGTGGTTACCCCCCAACCAAAAAATCATTTTCGTTGCTACTTCATAAGTTTAATTTTACTACTGTTATGAATCAGGCAACCCCTGAGAGAGTCGTTCAACCCCCAAGGGATCACGACCCACAGGTTGAGAACCGCTGCTCTTGGGGAAGTTCTGTACTGATGTTTAGGTTTGCTTTGAGTTAGGATCAACTTCATGGCAGTAGGCTTGGGTGGTAAATGTGAAATGTCAGATCAGGAGCTAGTAAGTGAGGAGTAATATATGGTTGTGTGTGTGTCTGCGTGTGTGTGTGTGCGCGTGTGCGTGCGTGTGCATCTACGTATAGATATAGATAGTAGGCCTTGCAGGTTCTGTGGATCAGTCATTGGGCTGTTAACAACGGCGAAGTTACCAATTCAAACCCATCAGCTGTTCTGCAAGAGAAAAATTAAGGCTGTAAAGATTTACAGCTTTGGAAACTGGAGCAATTTAACTCTTGACTTTTAAGGTCACTTTGGGTCAAAAATGACTCCATAGCAGTGGGTATTGTGTTTATAAACATGAGGACACTTTAAATAGTTAATGGAAAATTTCCATTATCTTTTTAAAAAATCATTTTATTATCTTTTAATTCCATTTTTTCCCACAGGCTTTTAAAACCCATTAAGGGTAAACAAAAAGTATTGCTACTAATGTTCCAGTTCATATATGCACAGTTTTATTCAAAACAACATGTTTAAATATGTCTGTCATCAGTTGATGGCTTAGTCTTAAAAACAAACACGCAAGCAGACTCACTGCCATCCAGTCAATGCTGACTCATAGGGACCCCGGGGGATTCTGAGACTTAACTGTTACAGGAGTAGAAAGCCCAATCTTTCTCCTTTGGACCTACTGGTGGTTTTGAACTCCTGGCCATGCAAATAGCTCTCCCCAGTGTGTAACCACTACACAACTGAGACTCCTTAGTCTCTGCGGGTTTCTTTAAAAAAGATTCAAAACAGTGGCCTTGGAAGGGATGGACTGGGTCAATTAAATTCAAGACAGGGATGTCAGTCAGAAAGTTATGGTGACTGCTTTTTGAGATTCCCAAGCAATAATCTGCATAGATTTTTCTCAAAGAATACAGGGTGATCACGAGGCTAATTTTATTGGGAAGATGTTTTAAGAAAATCGAAAACTATGATGAGGGCAATGAATGTACAATTGTGCTTCACACAATTGATGTATATATGGATTGTGATGAGTGTATGTGCCCCTAATAAAATGATTTTAAAAAGAAAAAGAAAATTCAAAACTGAATTTGTGAGAAAAAGACCAGCGAAATTGTGCTGAGGAATTTTTGTTTTCTGTTATGACAGTGTACCTGCTCGTTCTTCATAGGTACCAAGAGCCTGCCCTATGAGGATTTCATTAGGAAACCTGGTCCATCTACCTACCTACCTACTAACTCTCTGCTTATCTCAAGTGACTTTTTGCCAGAAATGTGCAAAGCCGCATTTTCCATAGTACTTTTACTTCAATGTGTAATTTCTGAGACTGACTATTCCAAATTTAGCCTTTATTTTCTCTCTACCTCCTTTTTCATTCATTGGGTTCTTTTATTTGCCCAACTCTTGTTCCTCTCAGGGCTTGCAAACAGGGACAAAGGAGTGTGCAGTAAAATAAGCTAATGTAAGAATAAGGTAGAGAGAAAATGTTAAACTTACCTACTCCTTTTGTGTCTAATGGAGCCCTGGTGGTGTGGTTGAATAAGTGTTGGACTGCTAACCATAAGGTCAGCAGTTCAAATCCTTCAGCCACTCCTCAGAAGAAAGATGAGGCTATCTGGTCCTGGGAAGATTTCCAACCATATAAACCCTGTATAGGGCCCCTGTGAGTCAGATAGTGTCACTGAGATTTGTAATCAACTTGGTAGCAGTGAATTTGCTAATTCTTTTCTTTATAAGTCATACTTAATACAGTGTTTAGTTCTTTAGCACTTTAAATATGATAGCTCATTTAATCTTCACCATAATCCTTGAAGGCATATTATTATCCCCATTTTACAGATAAGGAAACTGAGGGTCCCGGGCAACCTACCTAAATGGAGTTAGGATTCTAATCCTGGTAGCCCGATTTCCAGAGCCTGTATTTTGAAACACTGCACAAGAATACTGCTTCTTTAGTAGATTGTTTCTTTAAAGGCAGGACTTGATTTATCCTCTGTATCCCTCAGGTAATATAAAATATATTCTGGTGCTTTAATACTTTAGTGACTTCTGATGGTGGCTGTTTTTTATAGTACTATGAACTTAGTCTATTTAATTAATCACATTTTAGTTCAGAAGCAATTTTATGTAAGCTAAATTTGATCTTGTATAAATCTTTTAAGATTAATTATAAAATAATACAGATTATTTTGTTTTAAAATACATAACAGAAGTACCATGAATAGTATAGTATATTTTATTCCCAGTATACCTGAGTTTTGCATATATATATATTTGTCCTGCTTTGATTAAGTCAGTTTCTATATGTGTGAACAGTAGAAAGTATTAATGTGACAGAAAAAAATGAGCTCAATATGAAATTTCTAGAAGAAATAAAGGTGACTTAGGCCTTTTTTGCATATACATACCATCTTTAAGTCACTAGTGGGCAACTTTAATTTAACACATTTGCTGACTTTTATGTGCCTGGATATTGGAAATGTTAACATGGTCAACTGCTAACCAAAAGTGTGGAGGTTGGACTCCACCCAACCTCAGAAGAAAGGCCCTGCGATCCACTGTGGAAGACTACCTATCCAAAACCACATTGTGGAGCGTGTTCTTCTCTGGCACACACAGGTTGCCATCAGTCAAAGTCACGTTATGTGCTAAGCACTGAAATTATTTACATTCTCAAAGAATTCTGGTGACTTCAAACAAAAATCATTTTCTGCTGAATAGAACGGAATCAGGGATCCTTGAGTGGAGGTTGTGTATTTTGGGGTGACTGGTTTATTAAGTGTCTTGTCTTGCCTGATGTCAGTTCCACAGCCAGGGCCTGTGCTTTTTCTACCTCTGCATTCATCTTGCCTAGTAGAGTAAAATGGCACTTGTTCAAAGAAAATTGGTTGAAAGAAAAATTTGTCTTTTTTTGTTGTTTATTTGGTAAGTAGGGAGCTTATAGTGTTAGAAGAGTAACCTGAACACATAGACTTGGTCCCTGCGTATTTGCTTTTCAGTCACAAGTAGCACTTGACCAAATTGGAAGTATTTTAATATTTCAACATTCTTAATATTTTGAAATTGATTTGAATTTTGTGGTACTCAGTGCCTTGAGTTTATGTTAAGAAGGAACAAGCAGATCCAGTAACTTTTTATTGTTCTTTTGAACACAGAGTTGTTCAAAATGAACATATGTGTAGATTTAAAAAGTAACTTTGACATAAACTGTTCTCTAACTGATGTTTAATTTAATTCTAGAACGTGGTCCAAGACAATTCCTGGAAAAGTTGAATTCTTCTCTAGTGAGGGTTCAGACACATCTATACCCATTCCAATAGTGCCACTACAGGGTGTGGATGATTCTTACCCACCCCAGAAGAAGTCTTTTATGATGCTCAAGTACATGCATGACCACTACTTGGACAAGTATGAATGGTTTATGAGAGCAGATGATGATGTTTATATCAAAGGAGATCGTCTGGAGAACTTTCTGAGGAGTTTGAATAGCAGTGAGCCCCTCTTCCTTGGGCAGACAGGCCTGGGCACCACAGAAGAAATGGGAAAACTGGCACTTGAGCCTGGTGAGAACTTCTGCATGGGGGGGCCTGGTGTCATCATGAGCCGGGAAGTGCTCCGGAGAATGGTGCCACACATTGGAAGATGTCTCCGAGAAATGTACACCACCCACGAGGATGTGGAGGTGGGAAGATGTGTCCGGAGGTTTGCAGGGGTGCAGTGTGTCTGGTCTTATGAGGTAAGAACAGAATTCTTTATTATGGGAAAATGTTCGTTTTATGATTACGTTTAAAGTAATTGTAGGAAATTCATTATAACATCCCTTTGAGGTTTAAAGTTGTTATACCCTCCCAGCCTGAGTTTTTAGAATCAGGATTACCCTTATTATCTTTCTCTTGGGTTTTAGAACACACTCTGTGTACTTTTTCTTTAACTTTGTCTGATACCTTAGTAAACAATAACACTTGAAACCCAAAGTCAAGATAACGGTTTCTGAGAATTCATCTGACATCGGTTTGTTCCACAAATGTACTATTCCACAGACAGAAGAATATAAATTATATTCCCTGTTGTCTCAGAAGCTTGTTCAGATCTCGTCATCTTAACCACAGATTAAATACTTACATGTATTGAATTTATAGATCGATTGTTAATGTAAAAGCCAATAGGATTCGACTTTGTGTTAATTTTGAACTTTGACCTTTTAGACAATTACATTAATGAAATTTACAATTCAGGCAGTGTATATTAGCTAGATTATCCCTTTCAGAATGAATGGTAGGAAGTTTCTGGATTATCTTTATTCTTTAAATGGAGTCTACTTGTAGACATTTTCTTCTGAATAGTTTTAGAGAATATGAGTTCATTTTGTCTTCTGAGTGTTTTTACTGGCAGATGTGCACCTATTGCCTGACCTTTCAGGATCTGGCTTCCATCAGATTAAAGAGCATTATTTAAGTCATGTTGTGTTTAGATTGTGTTGTATAATATTAAAATGTTGGTTGTGTGTGGAGCAAGGGAATTGCCAATAAACTTTTTTGCCTAAGAAGTAGAAATATACTTTTTAAAATGAATGGTTAATTTCTCAGTACTCAAATGAAGAAATAGTATTCTTTTCCTGTACTTGCCTTCCCCTGAGACTTGCTTTTAAACATCTTTTAATTACTCTCTTTCATTTGAACTTTTGGGAAAGTGGACATGTTCAAGTGTGCTTCATGTTATTTCTAAATACACATTTACAAGATATATTTTGTCTTGTATGCAGTGTGCACTTCCTCCACTCTGTACTGCCTCCACCCACCCCCGTCTCAGCTGACTGCTCACTGAGACCAAGGGGTCTCTCTGGTGCTGCAGATTGTTTTTCCTTGTCAGTAGTGTAAAAATGACAGCAAGAAAAGCTCTTTGGGGAATTTATTCAGTTTAAAGCAGACTGTGAATGTCAATATTTCTCCAGTTTTACCATTGTAACTTTAACATATTTCAATGTATTTAAAATATTTAATGTTTTTGTGCATTTTGGATCATGTCGCTCTGCCTCTGATTTTGAGAAGTTAGCCTTCTGCAATTTTTAAATTTAAAAATAAGTCCCTGTGTTACAGTGCTTTATGAATACCTATTCTATGTTGATTTTTATTTACATCTTTCACCTAGCCAGAGTGCCAAACTTTAGTGTTGTCTTGGAGCTTGGGTCGTTTTACCCAATTATGATAATTGCCATGGGTTTCTAGTGTTCTAAGCACTGGATCATCCTGTTAAAACTTGGAGCTCCTCTTAAAATGGATTCTCTTAGTAAATGATCTCATTAGCAAAAAGGATCTGCTTGATAAGGAAGTTTCTTCTTAGACAGTTCCCTATCTCCTTTTTGGATAGTCCCCACCCCCCCCTCCAGAGAGGAACTTGCCAGTGAGGGCTCCCTGGAGTAAGACAGTATGCTTCTAGTAGGTCCTGACTTCTTCCCCTGTCCTCCTGCCCCTGTACCAAGTTATGTGTATGGTGACAGAACTTTGCTAAATGCCCTGCTTGATTGCTCCCAGGTGCTTCTTACACCACTTACCCTCTCACCAGCAGTGCCTCAGAAGCATGCCTTGTTCTTCTGTAAGTCAAGTTGCCTGGGTTTTTTTTTTCTTCCTCCTCTCTTTTCTGGTTGTAGTTTTGACCCATTTTTCTGTTAGACTGCTTGCTGTTTATGCTTTTGTTGGAGTGCTTTATTCTAGATACAGAATGTCTTCTCCTAGTTTGTGGCTTATCTGTTTACATTAATTCATGGTTTTATACACACACACACACCGAGAAATCGTGAAGTATAGTCTAATTTATCATTCATTTCCTTTATGATTTATGCTTTTAAAAATATCTTTGTGTCATTGTATTTATATGTATGTATTATGTTTTTCATGTGGATGAAGAGCTTTTATTAAGTCTTTGTCAATCTGTTTTCTCCATTAAGGCTCACATTATGAATTGTAAACTGAGGTGGAGTTTTATGTTAAAAACAATTATGTTAAGTTTTAAATCTTGGGAAGATACTTATTTAGCTCTATTATAAACATAACCAGAGCTGTATTGTTTTAAATGATTAGATATATTTCCTTGGTATTATATGTGTATAGTTAAAAGGATTTCTGAGAAATCTGAGTAAAAATTCATATTGCCTCACTATGAGACACGACATCCCTCACTGACCCATAGCCCTCCAGGGGACAACACCGGAGACATAGTGTGGGAATTTTGCCCGATCTGACCCCACCACACCCATGTTAAACACTAAGGGCATGCATCAGAATAGCAAGGAGAACAGAGCAACGAAGTCTCCAGGGAATACCAAATATAGACTTTGGGGCCAGGGCTTGGCTCCCCAACAGACTCAACTGGAAAACACTTCTAAACATCAATAAACAATCCTTGAACTAACTACAAGCTTTTCTTTCTTGTTGTTGTGTTTTTTGTTTGTTTGTTTGTTTGGTCGGTCATTGGCTTCTTGTTGTTTTGTTTTGTTGCTTGTTTTTGCTCTGTCTTGTGTTTGTGCATGTTATTTCTCTGCAGGTCTGTCTAAATATGATAGGCTGGATGAACAATATGGAGGAGAAAATAACGGGAACAACAATTCCAGGGGTCATGGGAGAGGGAGAGATGGGGGAAAGGTAGTAGTGTTAACAAACCCAGGGACAAGGGAACAACAAGTGATCCAAATCAGTGGTGAGGAGGGTGTAGGAGGCCTGGTAGGGTGTGATCAAGGGTAATGTAACCGAGAGGAAACCCAAATGAAGGCTGAGCATGATA